CAACTATAGAACATTGAATTACAGATTTTACACAGGAAGTATTTCTGTTTCACAGTGAATACATAAATCAAACCTAATGTAGAACTGAATCTTATGTAAATTGTACAAAATGTAAGCGTGATTAATTACATTTTTACGAAAATACCAAATCACTTTACTTTTTAGTTGCATAGTACTGCGGTAAATTTGTAATGCAACCATAACATGCTTTTAAATTAATAATTTATCTTTTAATGAGTAAACTATAGGCGTGAGCTAGACAAATAAGTTTTAATACGGGGCCAAAAATATTAAGTGTATTAATAGTAGCTTACAGTCAAACTATTTTCATTTTGCGAAAACTATAAATTATCTTAAAGGGAATACAACTATAAGCTATGGAAATGTTCATCAATAAAATCCTTACAGAAAGGATTCAAGTTATTCGTTAGTGAGCTGGGACCACTTAAGTGCCCCATTCGTTATTCAATAAATAAACAACCCTTGGAAATTTTATGAAAGTCTTCTCTAGAGATTTAATGGACCCTCAGCTGTTATTATTATTTAATGTTTGTTCATTTTAATGGGTGTTATTACAAACGTCCTCTACTAATAAAAAGGGTAACCTCTTTTACATTCTGTTTTAAGGTGGTGTTTTAAAATTATGTTTGGCTTTACTACAAGGTGTTTTTTTAAACATAATACAAATCACAAGTACTATGAAACACTGCTTAACGAAAAAACATGCCCATATGGTTATGCCTGTTTTTTATTACCTCATTGCCGATCAAGTTACACATTGCTGCATACTTATGTATGAGCTTTAGTATTATTATAAATGTATTTTAAAGACTCAATATTGCGTTTTTGCAGGCTCAAATAGAGTATGTATTGCAGGTAGTTTCTTTAATCAAATCCGGTTTTATGAAACTGTTGACAAGTCAATAAATAATTGTGTCATAAAGTACTATAAACACACATGGAAACTAAATCATTTACCTTTCTGTAAAAACCGATGATTTTCTTTGAACGCAATCTTCTACTTTGAATACGTAAAGAAAATCATCGATTTTACACCAAGAAATGTTTGTAAATAAGTTTCCAGGTGTGATTCCAGTACCTAATAAATCAACTATATATTCACTTGCATTTCTTTTGGAAAACAGATCTGTAGATATCGAAAACAAACGTAAACATACCATACATACCTGATATGAGCTTAGGAGAACAAACTTTGAGTCTTCTTCGCAATAAAATCCCAATGACACGAAACCTTATATGTAACATTATGCAAGAATGTGTATCAGCTGATCGGCAATGAAGTGAAGAAAACGAGGATACCAAACACTTATACAATTTGTCTGTCTTTAAAACGTGTCCCCCTGGTTCTCATAGTTTGGATTGGTATGGTTTTTCAACCACCCTGCATTTACTAACTACTGAGAAAATAATTACGGTTTCCAACCCCTGCATGGAAATAACCACATTACCACATCTGTAAACAGTACACAAAATAATTGTATTGCTTTAAGATTTGTTAAACATTTAAATGTTACCTCAATAAGATTATTATGTGTTACAGTGAGGATTTAAACCTTTAATTCATTAAGGGATTACAGAATGTATTACCCAGCGAAATTGTATAAAATCAACCGCTGACAACCGAGGTATTTTAAATATCTTTCTCGGTTAATATTTGAGTAGCATTGGAACAAACATCGTAAAATTAATTCATAACCTCGTGCAAGATAAAATAAAATCGTTTAGAAAATACACTTTAAAGGATTCAATTCATTTCGTAAAATATTATTCTATCATAATATTTAAAAAATATGGACGACTTATAAGGTTTTTTTTTTTACTGCAGTAGGTAAACAAACCTCTGAACCAACGAATTGTTTATTATATCTAGAATATACAAAAACGTAACTGTTAAAGACTTTTAACAGGACCATAAAGAATCTTGAACTACTTATAAAGAGTGTAATATTATCACGAGTTTGCTTAGGGTAACCTCTATGATATTGATTGAACATTATGTCTTATAACTAATTTGCAACAAACGAATTTGAAACAAAATTATTCTGTTTAAGATTACTAGAAAAACATAGTACTAGTATATATATTTGTAAATTTAAAAGAAGTAGGTTTATCAAGGATTAGAGAAAAAAGACCATTACAAAAATGCAACTCTGTCATCAGAATGAGACACAGCTTTAATATTTAAAGTTTATGACAAACGATGTTGCTATTGCAACGATATCCGTTTTACATGTTGTCTCTCACTGTTTTTGAATTCGTTTAGGAGAATTTTTGTGGTTTCCATGGTTAATAATTTAAATTAGGATTTTAACTTATCAATTTAACAATTTGGGCTTGCAGTTTTCATTGCTGCCGTAAGACCTTCTTAATAAAAATCAAATTTCAATTTTTATTCATTTAATACCTAAAATACTCATTTTATAATAATACATACAACATGACCGAATAAATAGTGAACTACATATTGTTGGGTAAACATTTTAAACAGTATTTTGTTGACCTTAAGCTATTTTTTAAAGTATTTTTATCATGAAAAAATTGTTTAGAGTATTTGTCTCAGGAAACGTGAAACGTGGTGGAAAAATGGTGACTTTCTACACCTGCTGCATAAAATAATCACAAAGCCATAATTGATTTTAGAATAAAAACTTAGTTCCAGTTCTTTGTTCTTTGTAACCCTTACCTTAGGTAGCCTACAACATATACCCATATGGTGTAGACTACCTGGTATGGTGTATAAGTAGGACTAGTAATTGTTTAGAAATACTGTAACTACATGTTTAAATTTGAAGAGCTACGCTTCCTTAATTGCTTACTTACTGTTTAACTTATGGTAGTATTAAAGTCAACGGTTCAAAGGGAACCCAACAACATACCGCATTGCAGCACTAAAGTAAATCTTAACATTATGTTTCAAATAGACGTCAAACTCAACTCTTTGACATGGGCCTATTTACTAGCAGCTAATTATAAATATTTCAAAGAAAACAATAAGCTTACACTCACAAAATTTCTCCTATGATTAATTAACTAAATGACCTCCTCTTTTGATATAACCAACAACGTAAATCATACACCAACAAACTTTTTGCCAAACAACTAGATCATGGTAAGATCAATAAATATGTGTATATTTTAATAATAATAATAACTTAGCAAATCTTTATAGCCAGTGAGGTGGACCTATGTTAGGGTTTCAAATTTAATAAAATTATAAATGGGAGGGTTAGGCCAATGTCAATTCAAGTATATTGGTTGTATTTCTGCAAAACATAAGCAAGGGTTTCGTAGTTGTATATTTACTGGACCCATAAATTGGTACAGTAGCTTTTACTTGAATCTCAATGTGACAAACTTTCAAACTTTCACATTTATAATAATAATATATAAGATGTAATATTTTAGAGTCATACTTTGTGTTGACCTACATTAAATAAGTGAGGTCATTTATTTTATATGAATTAATTTATAAGTGAAACATAGATTTCACGGATTTATATATTGATAATGCATTTCTAGAAAATGTATGCAAAGAACTTTATTTTGCACAAAAGGTTAATCGAAACGTTGCATAAATAACGTGGACACATTTTAAACTTTACTCATGACCCAGTTTCTTACCTCATTTTGCAAAGTGTTTACTCAATAAGTGCAGTTGTGTAAAGTGTTGTATCCTTAAAAGAATTCATTTTTATGCAAAGAAAACTTGGAAATTTAATTGGGTTTTATGCGGCTACGTAATATGTGGTCTTTAGGTAATATTACTAAAGGATTCAAAATACTGTGCGTTTGTTATATGTTATAACACCAAAAAGTAAACTTGCGTAAACATAATTTGTAGGAAACTGACTGTACTGTAATTAAGATTTTATTCAACCTACCTTGAAACAAATATACATATATGTTTATGTTAAGTGAGTCTAAATTAGTTTTATTGTAATTCAGATGTTAATTATCTGTTTATTCCCATATGTTATATTATTTCCTATATAAAGTATAAGATACAGAATTATTTCTTTGACTTCTACTTTTTCATGTCATTAATGAAACATTTTAAATCCTTATGTGTGTATAAACGTTAATATGCACACAGTTACTGTCCAATCTCTTTCATCAATTGGGTGGATTTATAGATTCATCAGTGGATTTATGATTACCATTCTACGCTGTCCTCCAAATCGATATTTAATAACGATCATTTATTGTAGGCGTGCAATTCTCATTAGAAATCTATTATGCATCACAGTAATTTTAATGCTTAAAAGTGAACTTAAAACTTGACATAAAATCTATATGCCGACTGCACTGTTTTCATGGCTGGTTCTATACTTACTATTGTTTTTAGATATGGTCATTACAGTTAAGTGTCGATTTAAATCACGGAGAAATTATTTTCTCGATGTTAGAGTTGATGGATTTAACATTTAAACTGTCAAATTGTTTTGAATACTTGAAAAGCAAATATGAAAAGCAAAAAACTAAGATGTTTTAATTCAAATCAAAATTAGTGGTTACAGATAGTATTAGAATTGTAAAATGTTTAATATGCTTGTTTAGAGAAACGAATACCTTGAGGCCCTTTTAGTAGCAGAATTGTCAAATGTTGGTAGTTTCACGTATGTTTTTCTTTATATGTATCAAGCGAAGACTATTTTCAGCAGCAAAGACTCATCTTGAGTCATGTACAGCAAAAATATAACTAAATATGTTTTTGATACCTCTGACAACATCGTAGTGGACTTTTAGAAGTAGGGTTAGTAGTAGTTAGTAGGGTGTAAAGAATAATAAATCAGCAAATCATCTATACGCTTATACTCGCTACAATATAGTTTACAAAACAGTCCCTTCTCTTGCAGTACGTATTCAAAACAATGTATTTTTCAACTCACTGGTATTGTTAAATTTGTACTCCGATACTCAAGTCTACGATGCAGTATTGAGCTCATATAAAGTTAGTCTATCATGACTGTATAGCTTACCGTGTTTGGAGGTAATCCCAGTTAAGTTCCACCCTCACATCACTTCGCCACTTCCAGGAGTACACCTCCTCGCGCGGTAGACACCGCCGTACTGGTGTACAACCCCTGCACCCACGGCGGCGCATGCCCACCCAGACCCACCCAATGGGTGGAGATTAGGCATAAACAAGACGTGGTGACGTTTGGGACTTGACCTTCAGATTAACGTTTGTGTTTTCGGTTGTCAAACTGGGATATTTGGGTCGTTGAATCTGAAAATGGTTTGTTATCAATGCTATTTAGCCTGTCTTTGGTTTATAATTATTTGCTTGTACTTTAAGATTGTACTTTATTGGTTTAACAAGTTTTTTTTTATTTGTTTGAATTTGATCTTTGTTTAACTTTATACCTCCAAGCATAAAACCCGATGAACACTAGTCAAACATTATTAGGTATTCTATTGATTACGCCTTTGTTTGGAATTGTTTTGTTTTATTCGCTAAAGTGGTATATTCCACTTTTCCACTTGACTAAATGACCTCAGACAGACTAGAAAAAAACCAGTGCTACCATCTCAGTCTTAGATAATTCATCAGCAGCAAAAAGGATTTGCTTTTACATCAGAAGTGTGGAATTAGGCCTACTAAATCATTGCTAAACAATTGTCATTACTGAAGACCAGTTTCATAAAGAAATTTATCATTGTACAATTGTAATGATTCGAACTTCAACTTATCAGTTGTTCGGGCCAATTTAATTATTGTTGAGTTGTTTAATTAGTGTTTGTTACAATGTTTCGTTCAATCACTGTTAGTAGCAATGAGAGGTTGTAAACGGAAACATAACATCACATAGAAGTTATGAGTGGTGATTTCTAGTAATTAAAACACCGTCGTAGGTAAATTACGCAACTGTACGCAACTTGCGTAAATAGTCTTAACGATACTCGTAGAAGTTTTTAACGCTCTACTCATGTCGTTAACACTATCTTTACGCAATCTTTCGTAAACTACTATTATAAGTTGGTTTTGGTAGACGTTTTGGATTCAGGGTAAAAATTGTAAAATAACACAGGCATAAAAATAACAATGCCTTCTTTTTCCAGTGTAGACATTCGAAATAATTGCCATGGTTATAATTTTGTTTCCTTTGTCCATTATTTAAAATAACTTGTTCTGAACTAATTAGAGTTTACAGTCTTTTTCAGTGTTTGTTTTATATCCCTGATAACATTTTTATGATTCAGATATTTAAATAATTAAAAAATTAACAATTTATGATTAAATCGAAACTTTTTCCTATGCCAAAGTATCTGCATGCCGTGACCTTAGTCAAACGATTTCTCTGGGGTATAATACATTACCCCTTCTAACCTTGGAACAAGTCCAAACTAGTGTTTTATTCTGACCCAGCTCATATAGACGTGCTTATGTTGAATACGTATACCTCTTTGCAGCAATCTGGAATACACGATTGAACCTTTATCATAGTTTTATGCTATGTAAAGGTTTGAAGAGAAATATACGTCTTCTATACGAAACAGGTGTTAGCCATAGACCTACTACATATGACATAAACGATTGTTGCGTTTAATTGTTGGGTTTGTTGGTGAGTCGGTGGCTCAGTCGGTAGCGTCGCGGACTTCGGGCCCATGGCAGCAGTGTCGTGGGTTCGGATCCTGGTCACTGCCACTAACTTTTATCAGTACAGTTCACCTTTGTACTGTACCGGCTCACCCCTTGCTTTACTGGATACGTTCCACGCACAGATCTGTAGTCTATGTGGACGGTCAAATGCAAGGTTAAAAGAGGCCACCAACCTCTTAAAAAAAAAAAAATGTCAATTAAGAGTTGAATGTTGCATATGTCTTCTACACTACGAATACACTACGTTACGTTATTTACATTATATGTGTACAATACGTATTTAATACATGGCATCCACTGATAAGATCTTCTTTGTGATGGAATTAAAGAAATAACTAAGCTATATACGGTCTACAAAAATTTTAAAATAATTCTAGCGTAAAATTAGGTTGTATGGTAAACGATTCGCTGATTAAATATTTACTATGTTGGTAAGCTCGTCCAAACTGTATAAGTGTCTTTTGAATTTGACAAAGCAATATGATATTTAAGATGGTATTTAAAACCCAAGTTTTTAACATTTGTAAAAAATGTGTAGTTTCATTGGTGTTGAGAAGTGATGTTATATGAAAATTGTATTTATATTTTGTGTGTTTACGCCATAATTTCATGAGGCCTTTCACAAGCTGTTGCAAGGTTATGTTCATGTTTAAAAATAATTATATTATTATATTTTTAAACATATCAAAACCTTCAGTTTTGTAATGAGTCTAATGATGCCAGCATAGCTGGCAAAAGGCCTCATGAAATAAAAAAACTTTGAGAATATTGGTAAAGTTTCAAATCTATAATGAATATGATGTTAAAAAAAAAACGAAATGATATTAATAAATCGTGAAATAAAAACCTGGACATATTGTCCAAAAATTAAATAGGCCCCATACAATTGTATTAGCGGAGAATATCGGAAAAAAACCTTACACTTTCACCTAATGACAAATTTCCCCTAACATTTCCTTCGATAACTGAAGCATTTGAGGGTTTGTGTTTTGTATTTAACATTACTTTTCTAGTATTTTTCCTAGAAAAAAAATAGAGCGTATGTTTATTTAACGTATTTTCATTACTTTTAATACGGGGGCTGTTTGTTTAATTGAGGTCTTCGTAAAACTTTTGCAGCCTAGTTCAAATCTGAGATTAACGCGTGGCGTGTTCCTCACGTCATTTACTTGTATTCCAGCAAGTTATTATTTCATTTTGACCTATAAATCATAAGACTATTTTTTAAATTCAATTTAATTTATGTAATATTCTAATTGTTTTAATATACACAAATATGCCACTTGGGAAATTCTAAAAAAAGAATCTTTAAAAAAATAATCAAATAATGATTAAACTAAAATAATAAAAAGTTACAAATCTTTTTTAAATTTAATTTGTTTTGTTGTGGCTATAAAACTAAGTATATAGTAGGCGTATTTTGAAAACCTAACGACACTATGTTATGAGTAAATATACCTCATTCACCAATTCAAATAGGTTTTATATGAAGTAAACTAATGAATATAGATAAACGTTAGCAAACTAATCCGTGTTTAGTATTGGACACACTACCGCATTCTTTTCGTCCACTTTGCGCTTTATTTTCTCTCACAAACACTCAAAGAAATCAACCAAAGTCAATTTAATAAAATCCAAGAACTTCAACCGATAACATATTTGTGCACATGTTCATGTTTTTAGTTATGCCAGCGTATTAAATGATTAGCTGTATGTGCTAATAATTTTATAGCATTTCTTTACAAGTCGTCATCACGTTGTAATAGTTGAAATGTATATTTTTATATCTATATTTGCATAAGTTTAGAATTTGGTACTGGTAGCAGAGTACTATGCTCTAACAAATGTGTCTGAGTCATGTTAAATGTTTGGGTGTCTTCTACTTATAGAAGTCATGCTAACTAAGCAGAACCTAAGCACGGTTGACAAGAAAGTCCGTCAGCCCGCCGCATCAGACAGTTGGTATACCAGACGCTTTGTCTTGTAAATAGCGTTTGTCTGAGAGTCGACAGGTTTAATTTATATTCCGACAAGTTTATTGTTTACTCTAGCTAAGCCTTGTTCTCTGCTTGGTTACGCAAGATGAAGAAAGTATGCTATTAATTATTCCATATATTACTGTGGGAAATACTATTTTATCAATAACAGAAGTACTCTGAAAAATACATAATCACAGCCCTTTGAAAATAATTTTGTTGAAATATTGTTTAAATCTACTTGAATTGACAACCATATTTTTTAGTTGTTTGAGAATAAAACTTACTGTGTTCAGTGTTTTTTTTTTTTTTTTTTTTTTGTAAGGAGTAAAGTTTAATGTTTTTTGCAATATGCATATGTCTTTACAAAAGAAATATTACAATTACAATAATTGACTTATTACTGATTAAAACTGTATACTTAGCTGTGACATTGAGCACACAAATCTCTGCATAGGTTAATAATGATTTTATTTATAATGTATGACAAACAATATAATTCTTATCGAGTATTAAACCCCAAAAAAATAAAAAGGTGATACAGTTTCTTATTGCAATTAAATACTTTTTGAAGGGAAATACACTTATTACATCTCTTAAAACGGTTCGATGCAAATTCATCATGGAAAAATAGTTTTAGAATTTTAGAGAGTTCAAATTGTATAGGGTTTGACAGAAAAAGTTGTGTTAAAATATTTTAATTTATAAACGTATAACAATGTTAAAAAAGTTATGGTTAAAAGATAAATATGGATAGTATTTTATCACCACAGACTTTAAGTTGACCACAGAAAACTTGAATTATTAATCAAATGTCGTTAAACGGGTGAATAGTATCATTAACAATTTTGTTACAAACTAACATTTTATGTCTGTAGTAGAAAGACACGTGGAAAAAGGGTCAGTTTCCTAGTGAACCACAACAGATGTTGGCCAAAAACCAGCGACAGATGATGTATAGCCTCCGTTTATCTTGAGATTATAACAGAACCTGTAACACCTCCCAAAATATAAATGTGTTTGTCGTACGTTTTAAGAGTTTTTTGTTAACATATTATATTTAACGTATATCATATTTGATTAAAAAATACAGTAGTGTCAGGTGCATTCATGAAATATTTAATAAATATTCATAAATCAATGAAAAAGTATTTTATGTAACATCCTTGCAATTAACTTTCTGCTTAGCTCAGAATCATTGATATTTCAGCATATTTTTAATACTAAAAAGTATATACTTTGTAGTATTTTTCCCATAGAAGGTAGTTAAACGTAAACTGTAACGAAGGCAAGCGCACACAGAGGGAAACAAAGAATATTAAATACAAACCACGAGTAATATAAATCTTTAACAACTTGGAACTACTCCAACTTTGATGTCATAAAATGTTACAACTCTGGGAAATAGTTTCGTTTGACCATGTAATCTTGTTCTTTGAAGTGAACTCGTTGAGCCCCTTAAGTCGTTAAAATGTGCTG